GAACCAGGTCGCTGGCTGTTCCAAGTGGATAAGTCAATTATCGGAGTTCCCACACCAGCAAGTGATTGCTTGGATGAATAAGTAAGTGCCAGACCTTCTCTTTTATTTGCTAGTAGGATAGATATGTAAATAATTGGAGTGGTGTGGTGGCCTAGAGGTGGAGCAGTTGCCTCACAATCAGGAGGTTGTGAGTTCAATCCTAGGTAGAGGCAGATATTTCTCTCTCTGGGCATACTGAGAATATATCTGCTGAACAAACCTCTGCATTGGTGACAGGAAGGGCATCCGGCCATTAAAACACTCTGCTAGCTCCATTCAGTTGCCAAGGGATTATGGGCTCATTGAAAGAAGATGATGATAGATATGTAAATAATTACTAGATCCATAGTCCCTGGCTTATTTTGCTGTTGTCTCTTTTCATCAGGTGAAACTGCTTCCAACACAGACTATCTGCTTCTCCATGCTAGCCTGGGATAAGTTGAACAGCATCTGCAATCTTGCTTAAATCCCTCTGCTACCCTCTTCAAACAAGAAAAATTTTCTGGAGCTTCCATTGACTGTAGATTTAGCAATAAATGATTGCACTCAGATTGGCGGTGTGTCCAGTGATGCGTGCAGGAAAGAAATGCATGATTGTTATGTGTGAATACGTCAATCTTTGCATATATAAAGAGAGTATGTGTGTTCTCGTGTGATGCTTTTAAGGGGAATGATAAGGTTGTTTTCCTTCATGGGAGATGGGTGCAGATGTAATATCCCAGGGGATGGAAAATGTGATATGGACATCCATACCAATATCTCCATACACATTGACTATTTAATTCTTTATGCCAGAGGTGTCCAATCTTGGCAATTTTAAGATTTGTGGACTTCAACTCCCAGAATGCCCCATCCATGGCTCTTAAATTTGCCAAGGTTGCTTTAGGCAATGAGAACAGACATATCTTAGCCCTTTCAAGAAAGATCAGGCTAGCAATCCAATGTCATGTAGATCAGTACTTTTGTTGTAAAACCTTAGTAACAATCTAACAAGCCTGAATGTTTTCCTCTTCTCTTCCTTTGTCTTCATAAAACTAGGGAGGCCTTGTCTGAAATATTTACTTCTGCCCTGGACTTGGTCCTTTTTTAGCTAACAGTTGTTTTGATAGTGACTGTTCCTCCTCTACCTCAATGCCATTCCCTCTGCCACCCACAACTTAGGAGCAACTGAGTCAACCCTAAATCATCTTTACCAAGTTTACCACAATTCTAACCATTTTTTGTTGTGGTGTTTTGAGTCTGGATTACCTGGACAAATCTATGATACTTTCTTGGCCAACAATTTCAGAGGTAGTTCACCTCTGCTTTCTACAACTCACTCTCTCCTGGTTTCTAGCTGACCAGGTTTAATTGCAACGACACCATTGAGCAGTTTGAGTTCATTTAACTCTGCATTATGCGGTCTGGGAATCACTTGATGTCCCTATAAGAGTGGTGCCTTTTCCTGTTCCCACGACATATCTGCCTCTCCTTTGACCCACTGAGAATCTATTGCAGCACTTTTGACATTCCAAGATTTATTTATTTTTAAAGAAAGGATGCTTTTGAAAAGAGAATCAGGCATAAATTACCAGACCATTACAATCATATTTATTTCCATAGAATTCAGATAAAATAAACATTTTAGCAAGATGCAAAAAATTCTGAACTTTATTAGACGGTCTGGAAGTGTGCACGTCTAAAATAAAGTGTAAGATAAGCTAGACTGGCAGAAGGAGGCCTCATATGAAATCGAGTGGCAGGGAACAAGTTGATCTTCCAAGGTATGCATTTATATCCCGTCTTCATTATTTTTATAAATAAGGCAGAAAATATACCTAATACTACTTCTCCCTCCTGTTTTCCTTCATAGGGTGAGACTAGAACTCACATTATCCTGGTTTCTAGCCTGGCACCTTAACCCCTAGATCAAACTGGCTATAAATTTAAATTATGGATGAACACAACTTCTGGAGGCAAGCAGTTCCACTGATTAATTGTTCTAACTTACTTCCTCCAATTAATTGTTTCTAGTTTATTTCCTCCAAGGATTGATTTGCTTTAAGCATGGGTTAACCTGGTACCTCTGCTTTTTAGACCTGCTCTTGTTATTTGTCAACTGAAGCAAACATTTGAATTAAATGCACTGCATGGATGTTTTCTTCCTCATGGGGGTGCAACAGCACCGGTTAAACCTAAGACTGTAGCCGATCAGTGAATGAACTGAAGTATCGCTTCCTCCTTTACCAAATCCGCTACTCTCCTTCAACCTACCTTTTTATTTATTTATTTATTTTTATTTGTCAATTGCCTACAAGATAATAGGTATAAGTAAATATATATACATACTACAGACAAAATCAGTAATATACTACACAGGCATCACTTCAAGATTGCCTTCAAAACAGACAGAAAAATAGCAGCCATCCTAAGAAACCCCAAAGATAAAATTGACCTGGAAAACCAAGGCATATATGAAGTCCCCTGTGCATCATGCCCTGCCACATACATTGGACAGACCAATAGAAGAACAAGTATTCACCTAGATGAACACAAAAATGCAGTAAAAAAGCTGGAACACACTTCCTCACTAGTCCAACACATGAAAGCCACAGGTCATAGCATTGACTTCAATGGCGCCAAAACCTAGCCACTATAGAAAACCCCAGCTACAGATTATCAGAGAAGCCATAGAGTTTTAAAAAAGACCTGAGAGCATGAATAGAAGAGATGACTCCACCAGACTGTCAATTATTACATGCTCACTGTCCTAATTGGCTTTCCCACCAACCTGTTGGCCCTGTTTGCTTTCATCCAGAAGAGAGTGAGTGTGAGTGTGAGTGTGAGTGTGAGTATGAGTGTGAGTGTGAGTATGAGTGTGAGTATGAGTGTGAGTGTGAGTGTGAGTGTGAGTGTGAGCGTGAGCTTGAGCTGGAGCTTGAGCTGGAGCTGGACCTTGAGCTGGAGCTTGAGCTTGAGCTGGAGCTGGAGCTGGAGCTTGAGCTTTATTTTGAGTTTGAGTGAGTATGAGTGTGAGTGTGAGTGTGAGTGTGAGTGTGAGTGTGAGTGTGAGCATCAGCTGGAGCTTGAGCTTGAGCTTGAGCTTTAGCTTTAGCTTTATTTTGAGTTTGAGTGAGTGTGAGTGTGAGTATGAGTATGAGTTTGAGTGTGAGTGTGAGTGTGAGTATGAGTATGAGTTTGAGTGTGAGTGTGAGTGTGAGTGTGAGCGTGAGCTTGAGCTGGAGCTTGAGCTTGAGCTGGAGCTGGAGCTGGAGCTTGAGCTTTAGCTTTATTTTGAGTTTGAGTGAGTGTGAGTGTGAGTGTGAGTGTGAGTGTGAGTGTGAACTCATACTCAAACTCAAACTCAACTCAAACCCAAACCCAAACCCAAACTCAAACTCACTCAAACTCAAACTCACTCAAACTCACTCAAACTCAAACTCATACTCATACTCAAACTCAAACTCAAACTCACTCAAACTCAAAATAAAGCGAAAGCGAAAGCGAAAGCTGAAACTCAAACTCAAACTCAAACTCAAACTCAAACCTTTCCTTTCCCTTCCTCATCCCTTCCTTTCCTTTCCTTTCCTTTTTTCCCCTTCCCTTCCCTTCATCTCTTCTTCCTTCCCTTCCCTTTTCCTCCATCTTTCTTTCCCTTCCCTCTTCCTCCTTCCCTTCA